AACCAGCCGAGCCTCAGGCTAGATACACATATACAGTCTGATAATATAAGTGACAAGTGTTGGAGGAAGATGTGACTAAAATACACTCTGAGTAAAAAAAAAAAGCTGCACACTGTAGCTTTACAGATCTATTCCAAATACTACCATACTGCCTCTAGAAAAAACTTAAAGAATAGTTCTGGTTTATTTCAGCCTCCTTATTTTGATACTGATTGTTTCAGTCAGTTATGGTAACATTACACTCACTAAAGTTATAGCTGAGATTAAGGAACATGGCGAGGTTACTATAACAAAGTCTGATGGGGTAAGAAACAAGAAGTGTGACAATCGATTAGCCAGATGTAAACCATGCTAAGTGTCTGTTCGCTTTTGTCTTCTCTTCCAAATATGTGTGCCTTACTAGAGTTTTGTTTTTAAACCTCCTTGAGCCTTCAGACTTCTTTTTACTGACGTCAACACATTCCCAGATTACAGGAATTAATGTGGCAAGTACAATGTTACCATAACCAATAAGAATGATGCCCAAAAACCTAAGTTGTAATAAACCAGAATTCTCTTTTTAGTTGTCCCACTTATGTGACCCATTTCCTGTCACCCTCTTATCCATCTTTGTAATATCTGATTAGGCTGTAAGTTGAGACACACTGTGTATTACACAGAACAGATAGGACATCATTACCCACTGCTCCTGGCAACTGCAGTGTCCATACCCTGATGCTTCCACCTCTCCTGCCCCCCTTAGCCACGCTGAGCCCATATGACAGATGGGCCCTCTGCATCATTTCCATCTTAACTCAAACTCCTCTATGACCAGCCCTTGTGATAATTAAAGCAGATGAGAGAATATAAAAAGAATGCGGCGCTTGGAGAAACAGACAAAAATACCAGAGACCAGATGCTTAGCACACTCTGCCACTCCATGTTCAGGCCAGTCCCCTCTTTACTGAGATGCAAAATGGAACAGATAATAAAATGAGCACTGCAATGACCTGAACATAGGTTGGAAATTTATTTAGAGGAAGCAACAATGACCACACAGCCACAAACAGTGCCAGAGAATTGCAGAGAATCCCTCAGAAGTTGGATCAAAGCATCAGGGATGGAAGAAATAGCTGAGAAGAGCAATACATTTTCTTCAATCTTTGGGTCTGGAACTGCGTAACTGTTAATAGTTAATTAGTTAATAGTTAAGTCCTTTCTGTAATATTATATTGCTGTCTCTTTAATAAAAAATAGACAAAAGAGGCTTTTGGTCCAGCTTAAACCATCCAGCTATTTAAGTTATTAGATAATTGCGTATACACAACACAAACACACACACACACACACACACACACACACACACACACACACACACACTCATTACGGGGTCAGTAGAGAGACAAATCAACTTTTACTGTAAAGTACTTTGTTCCATGCGCCATGAATCGCCAAGATGACCACATCTGTGGCCACCGCTGCACGCACACACACACACACACACACACACACACACACACACACCTCAGGGCCCGTCCTCTGGCACCTGAGCCTCCTTATACAGCCCACACAGTACAGTGAGCTTTGTTGTTGTGCACTGGAGCACACAGAGGCCGCGGCTGCAGCAGCATCTGGACTGTGAAATGCTTGTCACTCTCTCTACCCCATCCCTTCTTTCACAGCTGGGGCTCGCCAAGCTAGAGGGGACCTATGACAGTCAGACAGCACGGATGATAAATGATGACAAAACCCTTATGTTGTCAGGGTCGCTCTGAAATAAATGGCCTGGGGGAGACATATGAGAGAGTGGCATGGGAAGAGAGGAGGGGGAAAAACATGTTGGTTATCATTAGACAACAAATGACTACATTAAGATACATGAAACAAAAAAGCTTTTACTGAATTTAACTGTATATATCAAGTGGAAATTTTTAAGCTTTATAAGCTGACCTTCTAGCAATAATAAAACTTACGCAGAAATGCTGGCAAGCTGCGTGGTGCTGCGCGATTACATTGCTTTAGCATCATAGACATGAATTGGAAAGTTTGCTCACAAAGTAATCTAGGCCACAGGCAGTAGTGTTTGTTGGCCTGCTCTATGAGAACAGTGGGAGGAGGGAGGAGATGAGGCACAGTGCTGCCAGCAGCACAGAGCAGGATTATTGGAGTCCAGACAGAGAGATTTTTTGGTGGCTGTGACTTCATTATTTTTTAATTTGTAACTTTAGCTGTGTAGTTTCTGTTTCTGGGAAATGATCACATAGATTAACTTGTCTTGTATTTCTCTATATCTGTATAATGCTATGCAGGGAAATACATTTGGATGCTGCCTTCCAATAAACATCAAAACAAAAACATATTATTATCATTATTATTAATTTATTTTTATTGATGTTTTAGCCATGCTAGCAGAGTGGCTCTAGGGATGACAGTGTCGGTGTGTCAGCCCAGACTGAAATATCTCAGCAACTATTAGATGGTTTGCTATGAAATGTTGTACAGAAGTTAATGTTGCCTAGAAAATGAATGCTATGACTTTGGGGTTCCCCCTCTAACACCACCATGCGGTTATCATTTGTGTTTTTGCAAACACAAATTATATATATTGGAAAGTCCCAAGAACTATTGTTCATGTCCCCCCTCAAAATGAATTGTAATAACTTTGGAGAATCTCTGACTTTTTATCTAGAGCTACAATCAAGTGAGTGAGCATAGTGAGTGTGCGAGTTTGTTAACGCTGAGACGAGGTAAACTCTGGGTTTTCTGTTCAAGAAAGAGAGGTAACTTAAACTGGTAACTGACTCTGTAAACCTAATCTGCTAGCAGGCAGCTTTTGTTCAATTCTTCTTTTTTAATAACATTGTGACTTCCTCAAGACAGCTGTCAGTTTGTTAGAGCAGGTCCATTAAAATGTTTATTGCACATAATTTGTATTCTCAGTTGAAACTAAAAATCGGCATGAAGCTTAAGACATACAGGATCAATGAATAATTATTTCTATAACTCATGATGTGACTGGTTGCACTGATGGAACATTATTCCTATAGTATTGGTGATTCCAATCTCCAGTGAGCAGGATCGTGGTGCAGCAGCAGATGTAGTTAGAATGTATGTGTATAGTCTATAGTCTGACTTTGTTTACTACATTTGATAAAGTATTTGAAATAAATCCACTGAATGCTGTTGAACCAAGATCCAAACTGACCCCACACTTTACACCAACACTCAACTGTGCTTTATGCTCATGTTGTGAATTTTTGCACATACCTGTCAGCATTGTATTATAGTATTATTGTAATTTTTGTATACTTTTTGTAATTTTTTGATCTCCTTACTTTGTATGCATTTATATTTCTATTTATGTTCATGTGTACAAATTCCTCGCGTGAAAATGGACCTGGCAATAAAACTGATTCTGGTTTGTTAAACCTGCTTTCTGAAACAGGGCCCTGCATAACATCACCGTGTTTGCATTGTCACTGTGAGCATGTTAGGATGCTGATGTTAGCATTTAGCTCAAAGCACCACTGTGTCTAAGTACTGCCTCACAGAGCAGCTAGCATGGCGGTTGACTCTGAGTCTTGTGCTTTTCTGTGTCACCAGGCTGGACAGGTTCTCGGCTTAGTTTAGTCGACTGAATGTGTACATACGTAAGCCTGAAATGGAAAGGCCTGGTCTGCTAAAGCATGGTCTGCTTTAAGTCCATGCCGTATCTGTGAAAAATCAGGCAAGCTCAGGCTATTTCAGGGCTGATACCTCAGGTGTGTCCCATTTGTGGTTAGTCATTGTACGTGCATGTTGTATGACTAACCTCATTAATGCATGGCCGCATGCTGTTGAATAACTGCATGGTAGAATGGGCAAATAACGTGTGGGGGTTTAGGCAGAGATGGTCAGAGGTAGTGGAGGAGGGAGCACAGGCAGAAAGTTGGATTAACTGCTTTGAAGGACACGCTGGGGACATAATATATAATGTCCCATACTGCAATATTTATACCTCAACATACTACTGTATGATATGATGAACCTAACAGAGGGACAGGAAATGGAGCTGCCAGGAATGGAAAAAATATCAGTATTTATAGTGGAGCTGGAAACATATGTGGAGTCCCAGTTATGCAGAAGATAGAATAGTAATGAGATTTGCTGATTAGGCCCGGGACAAACAAGTTGGCAGTAATATTATTACATCTGTTAATATTCATTTCCTATTCTTGCTTACATTTCTAACCTATTTTGCATTTTGTTGTCTGTGGATATCCTGCAAAGTATATCAATAGTGTTTATTATGTTTACCCCAATTGTGTCTCCCTTCTCTTTTCTGATTAAGTGATTTCTAAGTGCCTTTGCTTATTGTTTCCACATTCACTGTTGTATGAAGGACATACGTGGACTTCCAGAGGACATGTAGAAGAAAATGCACTTTCAGAGTCAGTGAGGTAAGGGCTAAGACATGAGAATTTGCTCAAACATCACACACACCACACACACACACACACACACACACACACAGTACTTTCTGTGGTGTGCGCTCATTAGAGGAGCTCAAGCCTACAGAGCTGCAGCCAGAGTAAGAGATGCAGTTCAAGGAGAGAGTTGGAGGTAAGAGTAATGAATGAATTTAAACAAGCCCACACACTGCCGTTTCTCCCCTTGCCCTCCATTCCCTTCACCAGCTATCTAAGCACACAATGTTAGTGTGGCTCCAAGGTGATGTATTCAACCACCAGCAGTAAACAGTAATCAGCTCTGATCGCATGTGTGCAATACACCAGCAGATAGATTAAGACATTGACTGATGGAGACAACACCTCTGGCTAAAATCAATAGTAGCTTACATACACAGTTGGTATGAAGCTAATAATGAATAATGCTGCATTGATTGCCATGCTGGGGTGCAGCTATTGAGTTACAGATAAAGGGGCTGCAGCAAATAATAGAGCATATGATTATCTCTGAGTGTGTGGGGGTGGGAGTGGGAGTGTGTGTGTGTGTGTGTGTGGGGTGCGGTTCATACTTACCCATAAGTGGTGTTGCTGGCCCTCTTATTCGCTGCCCTGGAGCGACTGGACTTCAACTCTCCACTCATGCTCATGTCTGCACGGAGGAGCAACCAATTAACTTTGCACTAATACAGTAAAACACATCAAAACATAACACAGCAGGGATACAAAGCACAGACACAAATGTTCAGATGGTTAACTAACCTGCAAACCCTGTATATTGTCTGTTCATATCCATCCTACACCCAGGTTTACCCTTTATTTGAGCAAAATGAACCTTATCTGTTATAATTTGCGTAACATGATAATGACTAAAGGGCCAGCTAAGACTGAGACCTGGCTGTTTTTCACGTACATTTCCCATCACTCTTTGTTGATTGCTTCTGCCACTCTGAGCCAGCTGTTCACCTTCATTTCTGTCTCGTGTCTGCAAGCATACACCAGAAACCTGGTGCAGCTTTAGACTTGTCTAAAAAACAAAACCCCATCTCTCTCTGTCTACGTGTGTCTCTCCTACAAACACCTCTACACACATGGTCCAATTAACCACCAGCCATCTTGATTACAGGATATGCCAACAGCTCACTGCTTGTGTTGGTCGTGGCTCAGCAGTGATTTAACAAAGGTAAGTGTAAAAAGGAGAAAAAGTAAAGGAGTGAAAAGAGGAGAGGAGAGGAGAGGAGGCCAGTCTGACATGGACAGATGGGTGGTGAATGGAGTGTGACTTGGCCAGCTGCACATACACTCACACAGCGTGACTGTCAAATGGCTGGAAGCTACAATTAATTAAGTATGGGTTGGAAAGTGTGAGAATATATGTAGACACGTGTATGTGCCTTTACCTCCCACAGTAGAGATAATTTTCTGACAGTTTACAGTCAGACAGTGACATGGTGGATGGCTTTTCTGCAGCCAACAGTGTCTCTGCTGGCGTTGAACTGGCTCCTGCTGCTGACACCTCAACTATTATTTGCCTGAGCCATGCATGTATGCATAGCCAGAAAACTCCTAATGTGTGGTACATATTAAATAAACGAAGGACACGTTTGAAATACATCAAAACACATTCAAGTGTTTCTATTTGGGGGATTAATACTGGTACTTCAAAAGACGTGTGAACACATTTTTCTAAAAATATGATTAAAATGGTTCTTGAATACAATGCCCAAACAAGGTGTCAGCAGCAGCAGGAGCCAGATGTTAATTTCACTCAGATAAAACAGTCATAAACTATTTCACTGTGTTGTAATGCAGCCTCTAAAGCCAGAAAATGTCTATCATTACAATAAGAGATGTTATATTACTGTAAAATCACTTTCATATCATATTCCACACCTCTACTGAACAGGCCATAGTTTTTATATGCCAGTGTAATATTTTCATGTGACAGTAACTACTCAGATGACAGAAGATTGACACCTCATGAAATGATTCATGTGTATCAGGAGCAAATATTTAAAAAACATACTGGACAGTTCCTCATCTTCTCAGATTGAGGCTGTAGTGATTGTATGGCAGAAGAAAATATGTTATGATGTGATTGCTGAGCAACATGACGGCTGTGTGATTGACTGCATGAAGAAGCCATTACACAGGAAGGGAGGGGAGGATGCTGCTGAGCACAGTTGTCTCACTCTACGGGAGCAAAACCTCAGGAGGTAATCAGACTGCTATTTGGTAAACGAAATCCTATACGCTACAATTAGCTTCTCCAGTGCAAACACACACACACCTACACAAACATACCCACATATATTAAATGGATATTTTTTAATGATGTGATTTGCTGTTATGAGGTTTGTGTTGGTCTTCATTTGCACAGACAAAAAAACAAAGTTACTTTACTGCAAACTCAGTGCTGTTCTACTATTTTGCAGTTTGAAAAAAGCCCACATACTTGGCTACTTAAGTACAGAGGCCTATATAAATAACACTTAAGGCACATGTCTTCAGTGATAACCCACATTATGCTCATTATTGTATTGACTGTGGCGATGATGAATGCGATGATAATGGTGATTGATGGTTGTTGTTGTGATGCAATTATGCATTTTCCCCTTACCATTATCCATATCAGTAACACACTTTAACCCACCCTATTTAGCATTCATAAGCACTTGACAGTATAAATAATTAATAAATGGTTTACCACACTAAAATTTTGTTGTATGCAAATATAAAGACATTTTTAGTGTTTATTAATATCAGTATTTCTCAAAAATGATAACTTCTCCTATAAAGACATATTCTACAGCTGTGTTTTACTATATTGACATTCATTATCTGTTTATACACCAGCTTCCAGTTATGGGTGCCCACAGAAGGTTGTTACAGTTGCTGACAAACACATCTGCTATAACTACATTATGGTATGTATGTTATAAACTAAAATGTATTAAATATTAATATTCTGCTTATAAAATGCTTAATAGGGGGTGGTAAAGTAGAAGTTTGTGCCTTTTAAAAAAATTATTATTATTTTACTTTTACATGATTATTTATTTTATATATATATATATATATATATATATATATATTATCATTTTTCCTTATTCCTGTTTTGTTTAGGAAAAAAGTTTGAAAAAAACATTTGACTCCAACATAAATAAAGCATTAAAAAAGATATAGAACGGTTACACATTATATTTGTTTGCACCCTTTGTACATTCCACGTTCCATCTCTGTTGTCTATAAAACTGTGTAAAACTTACAGCACTATTAGTATATGAGGTAGTATAAGAAGAGCTGATTCCTGAATTTTTGAAAAATTATTTTGCCATATGTTTTCCTCTTCATTAACACAGATGTTAGGATGACAGACAAAATTATTGAACATTATATTGCATATCACAAAATAAGCACTTAATTTTTCTGTTAAGATATTGATTTTGTTGAGGAAAAGGGGCTGGAATTTTTTTTTACTTATTTTACTCATGCATATTTGTTGAAAAGATATTTTATTTTTATCATAAATATTCCACTTTAGATTTGGTAAGAGACCGACTGTTTGGCAAGCGTCTGTCTGACTATAAAGAATAATTTAAAACCCCAATTAACCATCTGGTTTCTTCAACTTTAACTCAGGAGCAAAAATCAGCCTTTAAATTTGAAAGAAATAATGATTTGACATTTATCGTGATAATTATTGATATCGAGTGAAATCTTTTTATTGTGATAATTTTTTTGGCCATTTCGCCAAGCAATCTATAACATTGTATCTGGATTCATGATTCACACTGCAGACCAGCTGAATCAGTGACAGGTGGACTGAGAGACTCCAGCTAAAAGTACAGATTGATCATACAGAAATCACAGTAGTATAATCTAACAGGCAGCATGTTTGTAAAAAAATAAAAGGAGCAAAGGGCACCAGAGGACACATCAAGGTCACACATGGTCAGCCATAATGAGGTATAAAGCCTCAGCCTCTGCCACGGTCTACAGTCTGTCACTGTTCTTTGTATCTACGAATGTCAGGCTGAGTGCCAGACTGATGCTTCATGCCAAGCATACCATAGCCAAAGTGAGAGCTGGCTTAATCACACTACCTGGAAATAAAATTAGACAGTAACAATGTGGAAAAGCTTTTCTTATTCTTAATTATTCTGAATCTCCAAAGGAGACAGGAGACGGGACAGCCTTTGAAAACCCCAGTCAGTCAGCATCCACCCTGCTGAAATGTCCTTGAATTCTCTACCAGCTCCAGGAAAGTTGTTCTGTCTGAACCTGTCCCGAATACACTAAAAGACAACTTCTCTATCAGGGTTTATAGTGTATTTTTTAAGGGGTTTTTTTGTTTGTTTTTTTAACATTACTACTTGTAATTAGGCTTTGGGTGATTGATAATATGCAACTGTAAAACTCAAGAATGAAACATGAAAACATAGAAACACATCTTTCGTGCACAGAATGCATTTTATGTTCACTGACTGCTTGGCAAGCAGCCTCATCTTCTGCACAACCACAAGTACACGTGCACACACACGCACACACACACACACACACACACACACACACACACACACACTCCCACTACTACTGTTTACCCAGAATTTCAATATTGCTGTTTGGAAAAAGGCCAACATACTGTAATTTGCCTTGACAATAGCTAACACAGTAAAGTGGATAAGAAATTATAATCTGCTGTATGTTCTATTAATCTGTGCACTTTGAAGTCACTGATGTGTGGGAGATGGGATAATAACAATCAGATAAATTCATCACAAAAATTTCTGTCTTTTATCATCATTTTCTTTCACCCTGCTTCTTAAATTTTTCATGCAATGAGTTGAACCGCATACTTAAATTTTTGATATGTTTTTCGATTAATGTTTAAATAAAAACAACTAATTTCAGAACAGAACACAAATACTCAAGCTGATGACTGACAAATATTTACTGTGGTATTTCAGTCTAAGAAAACATGATGTTTTGTAATCCTGCTCACACATCTTTTTTTCCCCTCAATCGTTCCACCCAAAACCACAAAAAATAAAGCAATTATGACTGAATGCCTACACGATCATTTTAACTTGGACAACTGAGAGTGCAAAATTGATTAATTGCAATTTAACTTGGTTTGGCAGATTTAAGAAATGATTTCATACCTTGGTGAAGAATCATGCTGAAGTAAGATATTATAGGTATAAGATATTTTTCTGTTTTTTTCTTTTTTTGTTTGTATTGTAAATATCCTCCTCCTTTCAATCTAATTGGTAATGGCATTGCTAAAAGGTACATTTTTTGATTATCCCCGTGTAAGATAAAACACTACTTATTTTAAAGCAGAAAGTTTGTTCCACTCTTCGAATATGACAAAGGTTGTTTCACTTGTATTTGCATTTGTATTTTAAACCTCCATTGAATTAGATCCTCTGTTTGCATCCTGCTGTGCATTTTGCTGATGTTTAAAACATTTTCTAGATCAGAAAAGATTCTGATCTCTGTTTTCATTTTAATACACATGCAGATTTTTGGCCCTCACATGCCACAAAGTTTATAAATCAGGCCACAGTCTGGCACCCTACATATGAAGAGAGGGTAGTGTGTCAAATATGGATGTAAAAGCGCATTGTGCCTCTTGCTGACAGTCTCTGCACTCTGTTATGCATTTCTCCATTTCTGTACTGTAACTGACCTCAGGTCAGAATTAGAGCCAAGCAGCAACCATGAAGCTTTAGTTTTCACTCTCAGGGCTTAATGCAGTATAATCACTGTCAACATAAAACATGTATTATCACACTAAAAGATAAAGAAAGTCAAGCGTATAGAAAAGATAGGGAAACTTGATATGGATAGATGGCATGTTGAGAGAGATACTGGAGTGTGCCTAACAGAAAGATTGGATTTATACACCACAGCAGTTGAAAAGGAGATGAGTGAAAGCTCTTGCATTACAGTGAGGGAGATAAAGCAGTCACCATGACTATCCATGATCTGAGTAATAGACCCTGAAAAGATCCCACATCACAGCAAATGACACAGAGACAGATGTGAGTATTTCTGCCTGTTTTTAACTCGCTTGAAGCCTTTACTTTCCCAACAGATGTTAGGGAGGGGGCTGTTTCTGAACTGGTGTGAAAGTTGTGAAGAGGTGTAGCAGCTCTGCCTGCATGTCTGTAAAGTGACCTGATTAGAAATTGTTCACAAAAGTAATAACACTATTCATTCTACTGGACATAAAGAAAACAGAATGTATGCTTTAGTCCATCACTAGAGAGCAGGATTTCAACATAATTAAGCTTTCGGATATTTCTGTCTCACAAGCCTTTATGCTCAGAGAGCAAGTGCTGACCTTGCCAATGGGAGAGACGGTTTGAGCTTGGATGTTTTGCGATCATGTGCAGTTTTGGTGTTGTCAGAAACAGCTCTTAATGCATCACAATGATTACATATAACCTCAAACACCCCACAGATCCGTTTCCAAACCACCATCTGATTGGATCCATGTGTAGGTACAGAGAAAACCAAACCTAACAGCAATGAGGCAAAAGTGAAAAGGAGAACGTGGGTTTCAGGATGAAGTGTACAGACTAGCAAATACAGGCTGATTTTGTGAGCAGAAAGGCTTGAGGGAAAGGGAGAGGATGGAAGGGGAGAGCAAAACATGAGGGGCACAGTGGAAAATATTGTCTTTTAGAAACACAGTGCAGCAAGTAAACATCTACTAACACATGCATGCACACACAGACATAGGGATAAACACCAGTATACTCACATCTTGGGCTGAACAGGGTCATATCTGGGATGCAAAAACAAGCAGGAGAGTGAGAGAAGAGAGGCTAGCCAAGGATGTCTTTGCTTCTCTTTTACAACTCACTCGTTTTACGTCCTCACTCTTGCTGCGTCTGTTTGTGTTTTCAGGCTGCCGCTTGGCTCACTGCTGTGATACTACTGAGTCAGTAACAAACCAGCTAGAGAAGCACCAATGGCATGTACCAAGTGGTTTGCTGTGGCAGGGGTGGGCAGGGGTGCAGTGGGCTGTTCCATTAGCAGGAGAATTGGCAGGAGGATTGGATGAGTGTGCAGCTGGTTTCCCCTCAGCAACAGGAGCTTGGCTGGAGCTCAGGGCTTACAAATTCCAGCCAGGCGAAGAGGAAGCTGCTGGAGTGTGTGTGTGTGTGTGTGTGTGTGTGTGTGTGTGTGTGTGTGTGTGTGCGTATTTTAATACACATGTCAAAGAGCAGGAACCTGAAAATAAAACAGCTGTGCACTTGTTTCACTTCACACTGACGATGTACAGACCATTAGACTATACACTCATACAAACAAAGCAAATGATACATGCTCACACACTCACAGGGGGGTTCGCAGGGGGGAAAAAAGAATAATTTATGTATTAATTACTATCTAAAAGAAAGGCATTGGGGGAGTAATATACACTGAGGACATGCACAACAAGAAGCACACATAGTTTCCAGTTTGATGATTGTATACATAAACAAAGGGATTAACGGTGAGTACATTTGCTGTCTCACCACAATATATTTGATGAACTAATAAGCAATTATAAGTTGAAAATGTTCAAACAGTGATCTCTACACAAAACCTGAACCACTGAATTGGTCAGCTACACATAAACAGAAGCTTTCAATAAATCCAGTAATATCAATATAATTATTATTACACATCACAGCATTTTTTTCATCACTTAGATCTTGATTCTAATTAATGCTGCATCTGGAAACACACCCAGCAGAATTACTTTTTACACATTGCAAACTGTGCATGCTGTCTAATCGTTGTTCCAGTTTTGCTGTGCGGTAGTTGGAGAGAGAATACACCTGAGGGTGTTTAATCTTTCTGGCTCCTGAGGAGGGGCTTTCATGTGGGTTTAATTAGCTTCTTTAACAACCAACACAGAGTAAGACTGGCAGTGAGCCAAACTTTAATCTTAGTCAACTCTAAAATGATTATTACCTCTTTTCACATTGCACTTAACCCAGGCACAATTGCATTATTAAACCGTAAACCCTTAGATAGCTGTGCTCCTAGTACTGTGACAAGGAGCGAAATTAGCCCATGGGCCATCTGCCTGTAAGGTACAATGGCACTGAGTTCGTAATATACAGTATAACGTGAAGCGAATGTTTCTTTCTTATAAAATTTAAACAACTTCGTGATTTTAATGCTGTACATTTTAATGCTTGTACAATTTGATTCATTCATTCTGTGTTTCCATATGTAAACTAACTGCTCAACTGCCTGAGAGATCTTAAAATATAGTTGAATCAGAACTTTCTCTGTCTGAATGAAAGTAAGACTGAGGTTGTTGTGTTCAGTCGACCTGGGGATTTAAGTGCTTGTGTAGATGCTCTTGGTACTTTAGGAACGTATAGTCCATTTACCAAGAATCTAGTGATCTTCGACAGTGCTTTTAAATTTGAAAAACAGATTAGTTCTGTAGTAAAAGCCAGTTTGTTTCAGCTGAGACTGTCGGCCAAAGTCAAGCCCTACCTGCCACACAAAGACTTTGAAAGAGTAATCCATGCATTTATAACGTCTCGACTAGACTACTGTAATTCTTTGTATGTTGGAGTGGATGAGTCGTCTCGGTTACAGTTAGTCCAGAATGCAGCAGCTCGACTTCTAACTGGAACTAAAAAGTGTGAGCACATTACCCCTGTTTTAGCCTTGCACTGGCTTCCTGTCTGTTTTAGGATTGATTTTAAGAATTTATTGCTTGTCTTTAAAATTTTAAATGGGTTGGCACTTTGTTATTGGCCCTGCGATGGACTGGCAACCTGTCCAGCGTGTACCCCGCCTTTCGCCCGATGTTAGCTGGGATAGGCTCCAGCCCCCCACGACCCTGTATGCAGGATAAGCGGTTGACGGTGAATGGATGATGGATGGCACCTTCTTATTTATCAGAACTTGGAACTAGGAGCACTAGCTGCTCCTAATCTTTGGAACACTTTACTTGTTGAAATAAGAAATGCCTGGACTCCTGACACTTTCAAATCTTTGCTAAAGACGTATCTTTATTCACTGGCCTTCAAACAGAGTTGAGTAGTGACATTTTTTACTTTTTCTACTGTTGTTGTCATGTATATTTGTTGTCTATTGTGGAAAGCACTTTGGTCAACTAGTGTTGTTTTTAAATGTGTTATATAAATAAACTTGAACTTGAAATAAGCTACCATATCAGTAAATGACAAATCAAACTATTTGAAACCAGATTAACAGAAAGCCACATTCACATTATCAAAACATGGCATGTTTGCTCAAAAAGATAATATTGCAGGGCTGTATATAATAGTCAAAGATTTGATGCTGCGATGGGCGGAGCCTGATTTGACTGCCAATTTCACAGTCGAAGCTTCGCAGTGAAACAAGGATCATGCCATTTTGGCGATATGGGGGTGCTCAACATCTGATTTTACATAGAACTACCAGTTTTCTCTCAATAAGTTAATATGCAGCCTATTACAATACACATTTCAACGTTTAATGCTGTAAATAACTTTCAATAAATGTTTTTAAAGTGTGTGAATAAATCCTGGGTCGTCAGTGCGCATGTGTAGGCGTAGCGTGTATGTGTGTAGTGGCAGTGGAGGAACACTTGCTGAAGAGACGCAGCATCACCGGTGTTATGCTGAGTCGTCCGCACCTTGCGGGACTTTCGGAAAATTTATCACCATTGATGAACCACACAAAGAATATTTTATCGTTTTTAAACAGCCGGCTACTTGAAATAGACCAGCAAGGAACCGCAACGTGCATGCAGTTGTTGGCAGCATGGAATGCACACTAAACTCTGCACAAGACCAGTGAATGGCAGGCAGAGAGAGAGAAATAATGATCAACAATAAGCCTCAGTTTAGCTTCGGCTTGCAATCGCTGTGCACAAAAACACAGTTGACTATAGGCAGCACTTGACGATTCTAAATCTTTTTGCGCATCCACGTGGAGGTTCCATCACACTGTGATTGCCATTGTGAGTGCCATGCGAAACCAATTAGCGCAGAGTGGCAGTGGGTTACAAAACCCTCCAGTGCTGCACGACAGTGTGTTCCATGTAACTACGCCCTTAAACTTGTAGGAATTTTCAGTTCCAGAAACTACATTAACATTTCTGTATCACCAAACACAGGTTAACAAAGTAGTTTAAGAAATTTACTAAAAACATGCTCATCAGTTTTTTGTTGAATCTTATCCATCTAAAACAACAATCTTCAGGCAAAGCAAAAGTTAATAAAATGACAAAATAATAGAACATGCCACAGCTAAATACATAGGGGTATCATATAACAAGCAACAAAAGAATTAAAGAAACATATTTAAATCTTTACACATTTTAACTATTTTAATTGCTTAGACTATACAATGTCTCAACACAATGTTTTTTCATGTAAAGATATCCAAAATATGTAGCCTTTTACCATCCATATCAATCCTGAATCTTAGTACAACTGTTGTTTGATAAGTGTATGATAGCATGAATGATTGCAGTGTGCAGTGGTAACGTCAGTTCCTATTTCGTAGGGAGAGGAAAGTTCATCCAAAAGTTAGCTGCTGCATTTATGGCCTACGCGTTAACTAAGGAAACCCGTACTCCTACCAGGGTACACTCACCCAATGTGATCATTTTGCTATACAACAACAAGTTTTTCACTGTGTGCATATCTCTGGCTGAGCATACTAACACAAAACTCGTGAAAATGAGCCTGGTGGCTTTTAAAAATATAATGGGCATAAGGGTTCAGATTGTAATAGTTCTTGGTCAATGTATTTATTTTTAAATGTTTGTGACAATTTTAGTCAGACTTTTAAAAAAGGCCAAACTGCATCACATAATCTACAGTTCATACTTGCAGCACAGCCCAGTGTTGGTGCTCGAGGCTTGTTAAGCACACAGGAAAGCAGGAACATGTACAGACAGTTATCTCTCTGAATATTTGTGCAAGAACACACACTGAACATAAATGTCCTCACTATTTATAAATTTCTAGACGAGGTGCATTTGGGTTCACAGTCTAGCTATCAGAGGAATTAAAAAGAGAAACAGCAGAGAGGCGAGGGAGTGAGAGAGGGGCAGTAGGGAGGGAAAGAAGTAGTGGAGCAGAACCTGGCTTGATGCAGCCCAGTGGACTGACTCACCTAAACAGAAAGGGCTGAAGCGGAAGCAAAGAGAGAGAAAATCTGCCTGCAGGCTAAGGAAATGGTTGGAATGAGTATAAAAGTACAGGAACAGAACAAACATAGACACATTATTACAGAGGAAAATAATAAGGACAAATGAAACAAACTAAGCTGATGTATAGGAGTCTAGTGGAGGAATAGATTTACATTAGGTTATAATGGCAGGTTTGGAAATGCAGGTAAATAGATTAAAAACCATTAAGGTTGAAAATACTTATTTTTTTAATTATTATTATTATTTAATTATTCTTTTACTTCACAAAAAACTCCTGGTTCCAACTTGTATTTGTACAGAAAACAAAGAAGCAGTTCGGTAACATACCTATGCATTTATGCTGAAACTATATTATGGATGTGCTGAAAAAGGTTTGTTTTAGCTGACATAGTCAAGCTGTGCTTAGTCAACTGACAAATTGACCAATAGCAAAGCATAAAGGCTGTGGGCTATATACTCTCACAAGGAGGAAAGCAGCCATGCTGAGGTTCAGCAGTGAAATTGTTATGACTGAAAAAAAAAAACCTGTTGGTGTATGGACCCTCCAAAGAATGTGAAACTTTCCTATATGGAAACTTAAGTGTAGAAAAACGGATTGTATTTTTGTTTGTGTGACGGGTCGTGGGGAGTCAGTGCGAGATTGATAAGTAAGATCCTTACGTCCTGTTTCTCATTCATATCGAAGCTACTAACTGCTGCTGTATTCAGAAGCAGGGTAATTTAAGTCACAGCTGAATTCGCATGAAGATTGAAATGCAAATTGGTTGAAGAGAG